GTGTTGGGCGTGATGGGTGTGATCGAAAGGGTGGTTGTCACCAAGTTTTTTGGCTGCGAACGGTGACCGATTTTATGGCTATGGGGGTGCATTTGGGGACGGCGTGAGGTTGGGATGGTGGTCGGGATTTGTTGGGCGGGTGAGGCCGGTACCGGTGTTGGTGATACCCAGTGGCCTAGGGGGCGGGGTGGTGGTTTTTTGGAGGTGGAAGTCAGCGGTGACAGAGATGGGAAGATTCTGCCGGTTGGAGACGGTGGTTGATTTGTCCTTTTTTTTTTCGTTTTTTTTTATAAAATATGTTTTAATTTTAAAAAAAAATCCACAAGTATAATATTTGTTTGACTTGGCACCAAGTTAGCGTCGTCAAACACCATGTCAGCAATTCCGTCCGCTATGTCAACACCCAACAAACAGATTTTTAACGGTGATGGATGGAGAGGTAAATGGCAAAGTTGAGTGACTACCGTGAAGCACAATGAAGTTCGGTGAGCAGTCCGTGACCATAGTATAAGTTCAGTAATTTTTGAAACAATTCACTCTATATTATTTGAAACTGAAATTAATTTTAATTGTCATAGTATTAAGAGGTTATTCCCTAGTTGCAGAACGGAAATACATAATTTTTTATTTTACAACTCCATAATTTTATGATTCACTACTCAATAGTCCAGTCGAACATACATAATTTGCAGAAGCATGTGTTCAATTGCCATTTATTGTGATTTATAAAATTTTGGTAAGTGGCGTGTTTGGTGGCACATATATAGCTCAAATTGATTATTCAATATGAGTGAGCTGATTTACATGGTTTTTATTTTATTATATTTTTAACTGTATATCTTGAATAAAATTAATAACAAAGTAATTCCTGAAATTATATCAAATACATATTTCCTTATTTTTATTTTCAAAATTTTGTGTGGCCCGAGATTTTCATGCCATTTGTCCATAAATGGTCCAGTCTTAAAATATCTGCTCTAATGGACCACTTTGATCCATATAGCTTAGATCATGTCCACAACTAGAATATCTAAGGAGGAAATTACATAAATTCAGGTAATTAAAGATTGCTTTTTAAAAATCAGGTGCAAAATTTATTTATTCAAAAATCAAGTAATATAAAAACTCTAACCCTAATCCCCAAACAAAACCTAAATCTATTCTCTCCTCATCATCTTCGATTATTTTCACTCTCTCTCTACCCTTTCCCTTACAGCCGTCGCCATTGAGGAGCGCCCGCCGCCGGAGAGTCGAGTAGCGGTGACCAACCTCGCACAGATCTCCCTCACCGCCGTGTGAGATTCCAACCTCGAGTAGATCTCTCTAATTTCTTGGGCGAACTGTGTGAGTGGAAACGGCAGGGCCTTGAATCTCACCCGCCAGACATGTTATCCGGCCACTCGGTTTCACA